GTGCGAGCTGGGCGGCGCACCTACACCTGGACTCGGCTAAGGCTGCTTTCCCACCGCCCCTCTCACGGACCCCTCCCCTATCACTTCTCTTAGGTGTAAGACAGAACGGCTTCAAAGCAACCTTACCCTGGGGGATGAAATTCAGCAGGCTAACCCCACGCCCCTTTGTCTGGGTTGGCCTCAGCACACGCCTGCCGTTCCAGTGTAATTTTGTCCCCAGTCCCCTTTCACTCTCAAACTGTCCTGGTCTGAGGATAAATTATACGGTCCCCATAGTGCACAGGCACTAAATTAGGACTTTTCCTCTCACTGAGACAACGTTTGTAAACCACCAACAACTGAAGTGAGCCTTAAATATAAATAAACACCTCCTAGCAAGTCATTGCACACCGTAGCTCACTGTTCCCTTTCTTCCTGCTACTCTCACAGGTGCACACACATCCCTTTGCAGGCCTTCTAAAAAATACCGTAAGTCATTAAAGATGAAATATTTCAAAACATCTAGGACCCAACTGGTTTTTACTACTTATGAGTGTGTAATCATAGATGAGCTTAGTTTTGTTGTTGTTGTTTGTTTCTTTTTAACAAATGGAGATGGTGAGACTCTCAAAGATTAATTAAGAATTCCTTAGCCTAGGCCCAAGTCCAGTTTTGGAGTCTGTGATCAGTAACCTGACTTGTCATTTTTGCATCTCCTTTCCATTTTCTGTAATATTCTCTTTTCCTATGGGTAAGAGGTCTCCCCAAACTTGAACGGAAGGATTAGGCCTCACACAGTAGACTTAAGTCAGCAGGTGGCCTTCCCAGGGATATTTTACTGAATATCTTCAACTGTGGAGAGTCTTACTACTTAGCACCTAAATAAAGGTATCTGGTTATCGGCACGTGGGTGGAGGTACAATTTTTCAATCGAGAAAGCTTTCCTCTGGTTACTATACGGCCACAACGGGGAGGCTGCTGCCTAGATTCTAACTGGCCAGGCTCACTCAGACCTGATGCTCATGTGATGGTCTTGCCCTTCTCCAGAACCATTTACAGTGAAGGTTAAAGTAGGCAAAAAAAAAAAAAAAGGGGGGGGGAATATCAGTTTAGCAAATGATACTTCTGGTTAGATATTTTAATTTTTTTTAAAGATGTAGCCATTGATTTCCCATTAAAGCAGCCCAGGACATCTTGATATTTAAATTAAACATGCAATAATAAAAAGGTTACTTAATATGTAATTTCATACATTAATAATTAGCTAAGCATTACTGAACTACAAGGTAAAAGGCTGGGGGAACATAACTAATGAACTATCCATGCCAAAGTACACTCCATAATAAAACAAGACTTTAATAAATGTTTTATTAAATGGCTACAAACGAACCGTTTTGTTAACATCTAATAGGGAACTATAAATGAGGACCTCGCAGGCAATTAACTTCACAACTGCTGAAGGTCAGGGCTTCGCCACGAGAGTTACTGCGCTGCACCTTTAAGAGCCGCGCGACGCGGGGTCAGGCTAAGCGGTCCCTCGGCTGCCCCAGAGTCTGGTCGCAGCTATTATTATGCACCGAAGCAGCCCAAGTATAAAGTAAACAGAGGAGAAGCCACAGGCTGTCCGATGGCCTGACAGTGAATCGCAGAAAATAGAAGAAACAGGGAGCACAAAGAAAAGGAATCATAGGGAAAATTCTACGCAGGTGCTGGAGCTCCACCGGGGCACCGACTGTTAGCTGCGGGGACCGTAATGGAGACGTGCTTATCCGCCACACATGCTCGTGTGGCTCTGGCTGTGACGGCGGGAGACGTGAAAGTCACCCGAGACTACGGACCAAGAACTAGTCTATCTGCTGGGTAGAAACGTACAGCACACAATGATGCCGACTGTCCCCAGCAGCGGCGAATGTGAAATTCATGAGAAAGGAAATACACATTTCTAGGGGAGCAAGAGACTGCTGCTGGACAAAACTGCTTTTTTAAAAATAAATCAAAACGGCCCAGCCGGGCGTGGCTCAGCGGTTGAGTGTCGACCTGGGATCCAGGCGATCAGGGTTTGATTCCCGGTCAGGGCACATGCCCGGTTGTGGGCTTGATCAATGACCCTCTCATCATTGATGTTTCTGTCTCTCTCTCTCCCTCTCTTTCCTCTCTCTGAAATCAATAAAGATATATTTAAAAATAAAAAATAAATCAAAATGAAAACTATACTAAAACAGATAGGACAAGGCAGAAACTAGTTGATGTCTTCTCTACAATTTACATAAACCGAACGTCTACACGTGACTGCAATTTTCCTGGATTGTTCTGTGCGGATTTGTAACCAACTGCGATCAATACATGCTGACAGGAGAAAAGGGGAGGAGCCAAAGAGGGGAAAAAATAGAGATTCTTAGCTACACATCAGGAATTTGATACTTTATAGCTTATCTCCTTTAAAGGGCGGTTTCAGAACAGGGAGAATCAGTAAAATGAGTGTATGTAAAAATAGAAATAATTACCACCGATGAAACGACACAGTAGATTAAAAACTTGTTAATGGCAGACACAAGTCTAGATAAAGTTGTTAATGTAGCTGAAACTGAGCCCGAGAATCATGCTCAACAGGGAGCCTTCACCGGAAAAGGAAAAATCAATGATAAATACGATAAATACGGCTGGCTCTTCATCTCGGGGGCTCCAGCCGAGCGAGACTGTCAGCGAAGCCGCAGCTGCCCTGTGTGGGTGCCTGTGAGATTTTCACTCCTGCTAGGCTGGTGCCACCTGCACCTGCAGCCGAAATGCCACGCCTCTTGATCAGCGACAGTTTAAGGTGTGAATATTGAGAATGAAAAAAAACAACAACCACACTACACTACAAATTAACATTCTTAAAGCATGGTGTACAATTTTTAGATTCATTACTCTTTATACATATATGAGATAATATCACCTGGTAGATTTTCTACCTACGTCAATTCATAAAAGCATAAAATATAATTCCATTGACGGTTCAATAACAGTACTGCTTGGAAATGGAATTTCAAATGGTATTGCTTTGCTGTCACCCTGAGAGTGATTTCTGAGTACAGAGAAATCAGCTACAATTTCACATTCAGCTACAATGGGTTGTACTCTAAAGAGCTACTTTCTTTCCTGACTTTTTACCAACCAAAATCCATTAGTACAATATGAAGGATGTATCTTTCCCCAAAATGATTCCAGATCTCTTCTCTCTAAGACATGGCTTCAAGGAGCAGCGACTCTCCTACTGACACACACATTCTGCGGCCCCTGGGCTAGAGAATCATCCCTAAAATTAAACACGCTCCCGACGACTTAACTGGACGTACTTCATAAATATTTGTCAAAACAATTACTGTCAACTACAATGCAATTATCCACATTCAATTTGATGACTCAACTGTAAAATTACTTTTTTCCTAATAAAATGTTTCCAAGTGACAATAGTGAATCAGTGTTGATTAGCTGTTCAGTGGGTGCTAATTAATGACACTGGGTAAATTTAGCTCTGTGCTAATAACCTTGGGGGAGAAAGATCTGTACACATGACTCCACGTTCAGTGAAGAAATTTGCCCTTTGCCTCTTTTCCTGTACTTTCTAATTTCTCACGAAGAGTGTTCAATAATACCAAATAAACAACACAAGTCAACTACTCTTGACCAGCACTGCAGATAAAAAGACAAGAGTACCTTGCAACCTTGTTCTCAGGTGAAGAATAAAAGAAAAGATGGCAAGATTTTCATTGTTGACAATTAACTATGAGGACCTCCTGCCAGCTCATCCTCAGGGCAAAAATGGCTTAGATCTTGCATTTAATGGCCAAAAAAAGCTCAATTCATGCACAGTGAGACCTCTGCTTCATCCAAAGGCTAACTTAAATGCTCACATCCGAGGACCAGGAAGGGGGGTGCTCCCCAGAGCAGAGCAGGGGACTGTAGGGGACATTCTCCCAGGGTGTCCAGAGTCCTCTATGTCTGGCTTTTATGTGGTGATGATTCTTCTCCTCTGAGTCTAATGGGAACTTAGGGCAGAGTAGAACTAAATACTCATGGGAATGCTAGGGCAACTTTGCTGCAAAGCTGCCAATAAGAGAGCAATGAGGTGGGACCCCACACTCTCTGCTTGTGCCACACGTGATGTAGCAGAGACACGGCTGTTGAGGTTCTGTCCAAAGACAGAAGGTAAACTTTTTGTACTTGGAGATATTTAATAATGAAACGGACTAGCCCTTACTGATCTGCACTTCTGTAGGAATGGGCTGTCGTCACCTGCGGGCCCACGTGTGCTGAAGTCCTCATTTGAGAAGTTCACGGAAACACCGGAGTGTGTGTGCAAAGAGCACGCAGCTGGCGAAGCCGTGGAAGAGACGCCCGAGATGAGCCGTCTCATAGAAGTGGGGGGAAGTGACTTCGAATGGTTAGATTCCTAGTAGCATGACTACAACCAGAGGATGGACGTTTCAGGAAGGGCGATTTCGGATCATCATCAGGAAGGACTTCCTAACAGAACTAAGAGTGAATGGGACATCTTAGGGAAGAATGATGGAGAACAGGTCCCATCCCCCTCATACCGCAAGACACTAAAATATCCCAAAGAACAGTCACCTGACTTGTGCTCAAGTATCATCCTTGGGTGTCCATGATGAATTTACGGTGTAACGGACACATCCAGTCAGTGAAAGTGGGGGTGTCTAGTACTAAGTAGATGCTACACATGTTCACTGAAGAATCACCTTTTAAATCTATCCTGTTCTAAACACGTGTGATGATTTGTACACAAGGAAAAAAAAAAACAGTAGTAAGGGAAAGTACATTAACCCAGCAATAAAAAAAATTACCAATAACCTGGAAACAGTCTCAGAAAAGACTAAACAGTACATATGTTTGATAAATTTCTCTTAGTGAGAAAAGGGTTGGGCATGTTTATCTTAAAATGCTGTCGACCACCATAGACTCTGCATTCTCCCGGTGACCCGGATAATGAGGGGATCCCAGAGCCCACGGGGAGGAGTTACCTGCTCTCCAGTGGTACATTACTGCCAAGGACCCAGCTGTCCTGCAGCTGGACGGACTCGGGTGTGGTTTGCAGCTCGGCGGGCAAAGCAGCCGGCGGGGCCGGACTCTGGTTCCTCCTATTGGTCAGGGAGTTTCTATTGAGAGAAGTGATGGATGGGTGATGCTGGGCGGAGTGCGGCTTGTGGGAAGGCGGCAGGGGCTGCAGGGTGGACTGGCCTTGGTTGTTTGCAGGTTGCTCTGAAAACAGAAAAGAAAACTCATTATATACTTGTGCATCCACACCCACATACTACCGATTTCTTAGGGATCCGCTGCACCTGAATTAGAATAAAAAACTGCATATAAATCTGCAACCTAATAAATTTCCATACTCTTCTATTAAGCGAGTGTTCAGTGACATTCTCTAAGAGCAAATTTACCCTTGATACACAAAGTTCTAATTAATATACAACAGATGGCAAAATTGCCTTTGGTTTTAATTTGTTGCAGATTTTTTTTTTTTTTCATCTGGCTTTATTAACACCTACAGAAAACAGCATCTGACAGCTCCCCGAATGCGCCTTTATTTTTCAGCTTTTTTTTAAACAAACCAACCCTGAAATTAAATGGGTAGTTTCGGTAGAACATGCAGGTTTTCAAAACGCATATAATCCCAACAATTATTTAATAGAGTTTTTTTAAAGCTTTATTTAACTGCAATAAATTATTACAAGCTAGCTGCTGAACAGCAGTCGACGACTCCAGTTTGGTGCATGCCAAAGGCGGCAGATCTGCCCCACAATCCACTAATAGACGCTAAGTATTCTCCAGCCAAAGGTCACTCTGTGAAGCAGATGTTGTTTCATGGATATTTAACAGACTGAATCACATCTGATTACGACGTCAGAAGGCTCATAGACTTAATGACTGTTATAGCCATTAGAACACACACAGAACAGATTCACCAACTTCACGGCAAGCAGTAGAACCGCATTCTGGAGCAAGTCTTAGGTGACCAGAGCAGCTTGTGCCTCTGTGTCAGTGTCCAGACATTTTGTCCTAAACCAGAATCATAAAGGATCCGGCAACTTCCAAATAGAAACACAGCGCTAGATTGTAACCGGGAAAGAATCCCCTAAAGCTAAGAAGTCATAAGTTAAAGTTCACAAACTCTGAGACCTACTTTTCAATCTCATTACCTAGCTTCGGAAGTGCTAGAATTCACAAATACTACATTTTAGCAAACAGACAGATGATTCCTTAATTTAATGCTAAACTTATTATGGTTCCACACACAAAGATGTCAATTTTTTTTTTTTTTTTTACTAAATGTAGTTCAAAGGGCAATATGATTTTAAAGTGATGTATTAAACATGCTATTAATATAAATGCACATATTAAAAAAGACTAGGAAACACAGGGACTACCTTTCATCTACAATGCGAACTCCAGCAGTGATTAAGCCAAATAATACAGTCAAAGACTGTAATTCTGGTTGCACGAAATGAAGACATGATATGTAATAGTTTAAATACATATTATCAAACCTCTTTACAGCGTACAACAATTAAAATAACTCCTTCTGTAGCATATAATATCAGTAATTACTGCATGTTCCTATTGCTCTTTAGTAACCCACATCGTATCATTTAACAACCAGTAATTTCTTACTCTTGAAAAGACGAACAAAAGTCTGAAAAACATACAAACAGTGGCTTCCTTGCCCAGTCTCTATTCTTGAAGATCCTCATACTAGGAACTAGGGAAATCTTTCTCAGTCCACTGCTTTGGTGCTCATGAAAAATTATGTGTCTAAGTCTCAGTTAAATTGAAATTAGCCTTTGGGGGAATGGCAGAGTTAAAATAGCACATAGTTTTAATGGTGTTAGAAAAAATGAAACCAACAGTTTAAAATTCAGAGAAGATTTGTTATTCAGGTGCATATAGTAATCAATTAGCTGCACCTTCCCCAGCATCCTGCATACAGTTAGAATTTCTGTGGGCGTCGTTAGGGAACCTTTTAAAAAGCTGCCTATTGGATGTAGAATGAGCTACAGTTACCAGGGCCCTGACTAGGTTGGTGTCTATGGAATGGAAACAGAAGCACTTCAAGGTAAAAAGTCCTAAGATTGTGTCTCAAAAGAAGAGGGTTGGGTCAGATGACTTCATGTTTTTAAGCATGCCTCCATGAAAGAGTGGTATTATATAATACATAATTTATTCTATATATCATATAGAGAATATATAACTTATACTATATAATTCTATATATATTCTATGTATGCTATACTGAATAAATTATATATTAGATATTATACTATGTCAAGGAAAGAGCAGCGTAATAGAAGTCACAATCCCACATTTAATTCCCAACTCTGGTCAGGCATCATGAGAGGGAGCCTCAGTTTTCTCATCTGTAATATGCAAGTCACATTGCCCCATCTAGCTATTAGTGCAATCTAAGGATTCACTGAAATGCACTCATTCATTCATTTATTTACTCAGTCATCCCACAAACATTTACCAGGCCTCTAGGTTCCAAGGGTATGCCGTCATAACAGGTGAAAGCACTGTGTAAATGGTCAAGCACTATGGACGTTAAGACTGTTACTGAAATTTCAATGACTTTAAGATACATTGTCATTACATATTTCAATATGTTGAATTTAAGATTCTTAAACTTAAAGCAAATAAAAATATAAACAGTGGGAGAAAGCTTCCATGTGAGGTTTCAAACATCGTGCTACTATGGCTTTCTCTAGGTTCAGTCGTTCATTCAGCAAGTATGGGCTGAGACGGAATGGTGTACAAGGCATTGCGCAAAGATCCATGTTCTTTCCAGCTGTCTGTCCAGGCTGTCTTAGCACAGTGTGTTCTGTCTGCTGGGACCGCCTATGATTTGCCTAAATAATCAGGAGAACTACTGATGAAACACATCCAGATAACAGAAGCTACGGGTAATCTGAAATTTGATGGAACAGAGTAAGGGCGGAGTAGATGAGTCGAATGGCCAGAACTTTAACTTCTGCAGCAGGCCTGAGGACTCGGCTGTAAGTCAACACTAGCTCTAGACATTCGGACTCACAGGACATAAAACTAGCGGGGAATGTATTTATCTATGCCAGCTTATTCAGGATAATAGGATAAAATAAAATTAAACGTCATAACAGAAACTGGAAGTGGGAAAGGTAAGATAAAGCCTGATGCGAGGCTAGTGGATAGAATGACTGCTGTATAGTTCTACATATTTTTAAAGTAGGATACAAATCTCGTCCTAAATGATCTAGTTGCCAAAAGTTTGCTTAGAAAAGTGTAACTTGCTGGCACTGACAACAGAGAGAGAATTTGCTTTTAAATCCTCACAGGAAGAACAACTGAGTCCAGGGGAAGTTTTATGGCCAAGGTTCAAAACTGACGCAAGGAAACAGAAAGCAGGGGCTAGACTTGGAGACCAACCCCTAGATCTAACACAGGTGGGCAAATCCACACTAAACAACCAAAACATCATCTGCACCCTTCACCTGAAGCTAATCCGTGGATATAGGCTTTGCAATGACCTGAGGAAAAAAATAATGACCTAGTAATAGATGGGACGAGTAGACCTGGCAGAGTCACCAGGTTTAATGTCCCTGCAACATAGCTCTCAACATGTCACTTCGCTCCTGGAAACTTCAATGGCTTCCTCAAGCCTGTAACACATACAATGAACTCCACAGGTGAATGTCATACTTGTCTAAAGATAGCCCCAAATATTTTTGCAAATGTTTCCCCATGAATCCTCATGTATCTTCGCCCGAGTCAAGCCTGCCGTCCCCACTGTATCTCCTTCACCTGTCCACTCACGCTTACCTGCTTCTCAGCAGAAAGACATTTCCTTCATCTTTCTATACCCAAATCCTATCAATTTTAAGCTCTAAGAAAGATGTCGCCCCTTCGGTTCTCTTTGAGTAGAAGTCAGTTATTTCTTCTCTGAGTCTTATTTTATCTGTTCCCTTTCCTCATGGCTCTCTTCACTTTCCTCTCTGCATTAAAACTGATCTTATAGGTCTCATGTCGCCTGTTAGAGTCTCCATGGGCAAACTTCATGACGAATTCACTTTTGAACCCCCTAAAGACCACACAGGATAGACACTCAATAAATATTTGTTGACGGAATGGCGGTTTGTAAAGAGGTCAATGAAGAGAGGTTAAAGTGGTAAAAACTGGAGCCTGCCCACGATGCCTTTAATTGTAAGGTAACTGCAAACATTTCCCCAACTAAATTCTTAGATGCTGAAAGGCAGAGGCTCTAACCTGAGTTTCCCTGGATTTTTCATTCCCTTCACGAAGCCTTGTACTTAAAAGACGCCTAGAAATGTGCCGAATGATAGGACATATCTATGCAATAATAATAGCACCTTGGGGGGTGTCATCTCATCCAGGCTGGGTACCATGTCCCTCACCCCAGAAATTGGACTTGAGGAATACATTGGAACCATGACAGATGCGCCAATATTTAAAATCTACCTTCTTCGAAGATGTGAAAATAATGGAAAGAGTATATAAAATATAGTTTTAAATATAGGAAACAAGATGGCGGCGGAGGTGACAGCTGCACCCGCAGACTCGCGTAACCACATCAAAATTACAACAAAGATACAGAACCACCATCGCTCAGAGCCTCCTGAAATCCAGCTGAACAGAAGCCCCAAAACCAGGGAGCTGAAGGAGCATCGAGAGCGGTAGGAGGGGAGGAGACGCGGGCAGATGGGGGCTGGATCCCGGAGACATGGCCACGGGTGAAACCCGGGAGGGAATCTCGGTGGCGGAGGTTTCTCGGAGGAGGGAGGGGTCCCAGCCCCACAGCAGACCCCAGCCCAGGGCTCCAGAGCAGCGAAGAGACGTCCCCACAACTTTGGGCTGTGAAACCAGCGGGGGGTGTTCTGAGGGTCGCGGAGGCCGCGGGAGCCCCAGCAGCTCCTCTAAAGGGCCCGGCACGGACTCACTCGGACGCTCCCTCTGAGCCCAGCGCCGGGCAGCAGCCTGAAAGGACCCGGGACACTCGGGGAGGAACTAACCTGCCTGAGATCCGGGCGAGAGGTGGAGGGCGGCTTCCTCCCAGGCAGAAGGGCTGGCGGAGGCCATGGCTCCTTTGGCGAGTCCTCCCCGCACACAGCCGGCAGGCAGGCGCCATGTTTGAATCGCCAGCACCTGACTCACACCTTTGGCCCCGCCCCGTGATTCCCGGAGGCCCCGCCCCTCCCCACCTGCAGCTCATC